TTGCATTTTCAAGTTTTGTTAAGTTCCGTTGTCTTTTCTTTTGTCTTTTCAGTGTTAACGCATACTGTGCTCTAACTTGTTCAGCTGTTGCTGCATCCACCGAGCTTAACCCTACTTCTATGCTGGGTATAAAGAAACATACATACGTACACACATATACATGCGATAAAAGCCTGAATGAAAGACATTTTAAAGGAAATATTATTCAAAAGAAACAGTAATCAATATGTTCTAGGAACACAACAGACAGTTCAGAAATATAAATAACATTCCTTCGGCGATTATAAGGAGGAAATGTCATCCATGACTGATGGTTATAACTGGTTAAGAGTTCACTAAGTTGCTAAATTTGATTGTCAACATCTTACCACAACACTTGATAAAGTTGAAGAATAGCAGGCTGAAATATCGGACAGAAAGATAACTTTGAATAGCTAGTCAAAGTTTTACATGCTAAAAGCTATGATACTAGAACATTCCAGAGGCTACAAAGGTTTCCCCTTCATGCCTGATAAAAGAAACTCTTCCTAAAAAATACCTCTCCTGTCGGTATCCCCAAATCACATGCAGAGAGACATACAAAATCAATGTAGAACCTCGCACACAAGTGCATCAGCCCAACTTAACATACTTCACAGTCCTATGCAAAGAACAGAAGGATAGAAAGGGAGAGATATCAAAGGAGATAAAGTTGTGTAAGAGAATAAATATTGAAGTTTTAGAAGACATCCGAGTGAATATGTCTGCGCCATTGTGACTGATTTTCAGCCATGTCATCAACAGTTCTCGGTCATCGATTTCTATCAGCTCGGGGATCCCAGTCAGGTAGAAAACATCTCGCAATACGGCTCAGATCAACAGTCAAGGACTCCACTGATTGGTGCCACGTCTGGCCACCCTGAACTCTCCCTCCATTCTAATCCAGCTTCTTCTATCATGGCATATCAAGGTAGGCAGTAGGTTACCAACCTCATCAATCAACTTAACCGCAACATAACTTACACGGTGAATCTACCAAACGCGAGCAATGCTACGAAGACATCTGTGATCACACACTTATTACCGCTTGACGTCTTCTACTTTCAACGTCTATGTTTCACAGCCGTATTACATAACAGTAAACTCATCCTTTGACAGATAGACGGATATTTCGGCAGTCAGTGCCATGGATAATGCAAGTTGATAAATGCCAAACGGATCTTCTGTATGCGAGCTGAGATTCAGCCTGTTCGCCTCCTCGATCACTAAACTGGGAGTAATTACCGCAACCAATCCTGGAGCATTATCTTAAGTAGCACAGATGCAAAACGCATGCTAAACATCCTGGATTTCTGCTCAATGATTTCAAAAGACCCTGTACTTTGTCAGCAGAAAAGCATCGTCTGAGTACTCCAAGTCAACTAGATGACATGCTAAGAATAGATCCTTCCCTATGAAGTCAAATGTACCTAAGGTAATGTCCATTAGTACATCTCTAACGAAGTTAAATAGGAAGCGTGACAGTGAACATCCCTGACAGCAGCTAGTAAATGCAGAGTACATGACGACTAAACAAAATCAATTTCTCATTTTCAATGATTAGTTGATTATTAAAAATCATTCGTCTACCTGAAACTTTCTCAGTGTCTATTCTTTATTGTTCAGTCAAAGACGCTACTTCCTTCCAGTGCATATTTGTTCAGCGATATCTTCTTGCTTCGTCGGTTCCCTGTCAGCCAGCCAGTCAGTCAGTCAGAGTTACCCCTTGCTTATTCTTATCACTCTTCCCAGCCATCTCAGCTTCAGTAATGAGCCAGCGTAGGCAGCAGTTCTTAACGAATATCTGTAGTTTGTTGCAAATGCCTTTCATAACACGCCAAGTCTCTCAACCATCACATTGAAGCACTGACTTACTTGACTGAATTGGTGTTGATAATCCGGATGTTATTCACACTTTATGCTGAGTACAGTGGAGGAGATCTCCACACTGATTTCAGGTTAATCAACACATGTATTGCTGTCTTTTCCATCCTGGCTGACTTTGGTGTCCTCATCTGTGCCTGTGCCGCCTGCACTTGAAACGATGCTGCATTGCCTCCATAGGTGAAACAGGCTACTTCCCTTAACTTTCTCCTGTTGATCGTGATTGGAGCTTCTTGTTGTTGTTGTTGTTGTTGGTGGTGGTTATTGGCGTTGGTTGTATATCATCATCACCTCTGTCTTCTCCACACTCACTTGAAGTCCCGTCTTCGCTGCCCTGTCCTGCCCTACCCTGCCTTGCCTCGCCTCGCCTCCTCTGTCAACTTCTTACTTTTTGACTGTACATCTTCGAATTTGTGCCACAACACATTAAACACAAGTCATCAGCAATGTCCAGATCTTCTAGGATCTTTTCCCCGGTCAAACAGCCTATCCTCATATTCTCACTCCTCACGGTTTGTTGCATGATCCAGTAGACCATAATCAGGAATATCATGGGTGATAGTAGACAGCCTTGTCTTACTCCTGTCTCCCGTCTTCACTTCAAAGGCACCAATGAGCTTCCCATTGTGAATTACTTGGTATGTGGAGTCTTCATATAGTTGTTGAATGAGGTTGATAAAGGATTGTGGTATTCTGTAGTATTGAAGCAGTTGCCAAATTACTTCTCGGTCTACGGTGTCGAAGGCCTTCTCAAAGTCGATGAAGTTGAGGTAGAAAGTTGACTGACATTCTAAGCAAAGTAGAAGTCTGCTTAACAACAACGTTCTTTACATTTGACGGGAAGTTGTACCAACAAAAAGAAAAGGTAACGGCGATAGGATCGCTTATGTCATCTATAATAGAGGAAATGTTATTGGGTGTTTTGGCGGAAAAAAGCGCTCTAAAAGCTTGACGAGAATTTTCCTGAAAAAATATCTATTCGCTTCAAACTTTGTCTTCTAAGCATGCACATACAACTCCCTTAATGCTTCCTCTCAGAACTTTCGTTCTGTCGTGTTGATCAAGTGGTTATCGATGGAAATTCTACCAATAGTTAACTCATGAAAGACTGATCAGCCACGATAAAAAACAAAGCACAGAATAACTAATTTCAGACAGGTAGGGCTTGAAAAAACTAGATAAATTGAAATGAATCACAGTCTAAGTTATCTTTGTTAAACATGTTGAAACAAAAGTTTTCTGAAGGTTTCAGAACATAACTGTATAAATTATGAATACTGGGTGAGGACTGAAAGTGAAATGAAAATTTGGACGGCGGCTGAATTCGAACCAGCCTGATGCTACACCACCTGAGCTATGAGGTCCGACTGCTGACGACATTTTTTATTTCACTTCAATCACGATGGGTTTCGCCGTACTATCATGTGAATTCGTGACACGTTACTATCGCTTGGTAGTACTCAAACTGGCTGCCTGGTCAAGACTTTCTCATCTCAATCCAAATCTAACTGAATCAGAGAGGGGGACCAACATATTGGTTATCATTTCGACTATCTGAGATGGCCACGGTTTGACAGACTGTTATTGATACTGGGTGATGATTGAAAGTGGAATGAAAATTTGGACCACTGGTCAGCAATTGGACCTAGTAGTTTACTTGTGAATCAATATTCAATTTAGAAATTTGTGAGCATTTATTTATTGATTTCAGGTTGATGTTCATCATTCAACTGATATCAGTTGGAGAAACATTAGAAATCGTGAAGCAATGGACAGATGTTTCATTCTACTATGGAACTCTTCAGCAGTGCGCACCATGACCTTATAAGGGATCGAACCCAGAGCTTTCAGGTTACGCGGTCACTGAGTAGGAGCCCACTAATTCATATTTTTCTACTTCTGTCACCTAAATCCATATGCCATCGTCAAGTAACTCTCTTCATGTCCGACTAGGTTGACTCCACCGGTTAATACTTCTCATTAAAACTTCCAGGAATCACCTGTCGAACTCAATCAGTCATCAATTCACTCCTTACACATATACAACAAAAGTTCACTCAACAACACAACTATCAATCATATGGAACATTGTATTGAACAAATAGATTAACGAACAATAAGTAAAGATTAGATGGTATGATAACGGATAGTAAATATTATCCAAAATAAACTTTTCATCAGAAAAAATTTTTTGCTTAGAACACATTGAACCAAATAAAAAACAAATCGTTCCACTTTATTAAAATGTAAGAAAGGGGGGGGGATATAAAATGGAACATATAAAAAAAAAACACACGAATAGTTACAGTAAGAATCCGCTATGCCACAGAGGAACGATAGCCAGTGGAGAATAAAAAAAAAGTATATCAATAAATAGTAATAACTATTACCCATTGTACAAGAAGTGGCTATCGTTCCTCTGTGGCATAGTGGAGCGATCGGTACGAGGTTCCAGTCTCAGTACGAACAACATCACTGCGATACAGACAGGTATATCCAACTCACGAGTACAAAGTAGGATAAAGCGCGCATCCTCAATTCTTCTGCTAGCCACAATCAACCAGATTATCATAATTCACACTCAGGCAATATCGAGACATCCGCATATGAGCCAGCCTATATGCCAAGATATCTGATGTTGCACCACCTTTCAACTCCAGGTTCATGAACAAAGTCTTTTTTTGAAACTCAGCTAGTGACTGGCTTCGCATGTGTTTCTTGTGTATTCTTATCGATAAATCGGTTAGGATAGCTGTTTTCTGCGAGCGTCCCTCTTAGAAAGTCAAATTAAAGTTCGACACATTCCGTGCTACAAATATTCTTATCAAGAGTTTGAAAAAAACAAATCGTTCCATTTGATTAAAATGTAAGAAAGGGAGGGGGAGGGGATATAAAATGGAACATATAAAAAAAACACACGAATAGTTACAGTAAGAATCCTCCTCCCCCTCCTCATCATCATCATCACCATAGTAACAAAAGGATTCAATAAAAGTCATATTGATCAATGAAGAAACAAAGTTAGTTTATGCAATAATAACAATAATGTACACCCCTTTCAATGATAGATAAATTGTAATCAAAGATCTATACAAATATTATGATATAATTAACTTATGAATACAATAATTCATAGCTTTTTCAATATCATAAAATACAGGGATATTTAATTCTTTAGCTAAATCAATTAAATATATACGAATACGATTATAATCTTTAATTGCTTCGTTTGAAAGGTGGATAGATGATGAAATAATATTAATTGAATTGAACATTGAACAATTAAAATATTTACTAGAATAATTATTAGTATTAGGAAGTATATTAATCTCTGATGTATTTGATCCAATCATATCACTTGAAATTTCATTGTTATTTGTATTATTCTCAAATTTTATATGATTGAAATTCTTTATCTATAATATAATAGTAGTTAAAATGTATAAATTTCCTATTTAGTTTTTTTTTTCTTCATTTTCTCTTTAAAGATAAAAATGGGTAAGTTTAGAAACTAGGCAACATGGTACTATGTAATTTCATGTTATTACTATTTGCTGATATATTTGCAGTTCTCCGTCGTTATAGAAGATCGAATTCCTCCACTTATATTGACATATGAGTTACTAAGCAAATGCCATGATACTGCCAGAATATTTATTTTCATAGTTGACTTAGTTTCCAATAGTGGTCGATGAATTCGATCCAGTATAACAGCAAAGAACCACAAGTATCAACAAATAATAATAACTGATGCTTTTTGTTAAAAAGGTGACTATCCTTCTTCATTGGTCAGGTGGATAACTCTTTGGTATTTGAAGCGATAGGTACGAGGTTCGATTGTCAATGGCAACATTATCACTCACTGGGGTACAGGTACATCCAACTGACGAGTCCAAAATAAGGCGAAATGTGTGTTCTAGGTTCCACTGGTAGCTACACAACCAAGTCAGTCATAACGATAAGTTACATATTAATTTGTCTTTTTGACACAGTATACAATGATACAGTAATATTTACTGCATGGCATTTTCAATGGAATTTAGTGTGTATATTCATGTCAACTTTGACATCAATATGAACAGTAGATTCTATGTAAAAGGTTATCTATCTTCGCTGGAACCATACCATTCTTGGTTAATTTAGCCTAATGTACATGCAACTTCTGTTAAATAAAACATTGCGATACTTTCATATTATGGTTGTAATTTTCATATTAACTTAGTAAATGATTGGAATATTAATCACAGTATCAGACAGAAGGGTTGGAAAACATCAACCCTACAAACAGTACGCTTCTCCTTGTTCTGCATTATTCTGATGCCAGCAGCATATGTTCTGCTTGCGAAGCACAAGGAAATCCGCATGTGATTGGCCTCAAACAGATGTTCATTGGGCTGAGATCCTTAAAGAGGAAGTAACTTTATAAAGTATCAGTAGCAGAGAGTTAACAACTCCCTTCACACCTATATCAATACTCAAGTTCCTTCTGACTACTATCACAACCCTCCACATCTTTGACTCCTAATCTTGCTTAACCCCTCTCAGGTAATAATCCTACACCTTCTTTAGTTTCTTAAAGCTATAATACCCATAATGAAGATGATGCTTCACATAAAAATATATTTGGTCTCTTAAAGCCGCACTTCAAACTACATAGTGGAGCCTTTAATGACCGCATCCTTCGTCAGATTTCGTAGTAAGCATCTCTACTTAAAACTCTGACATGGGCTATGGACGTATGCGATAAAATGTTTCTTATCATTCATGTTGCTTTTCTAGGCTTTCACTATCACACTAGCCGTTCTAAATAAGATCAGTTTGTAACTTGAAATTACAATCGAAATCATATCAGCATTAATAGTACCATTACTGAACAGTTCGTCTATAGCAAATGATAAGGATTAATTATTTATTGTGTGGAAGGATACGCCGATGTTTTGATATCAAAAGTTCTTTTAACTAAGAATGCTCAATAGAATAGATATTATTAACCATTCAATAGTGACGAGTAATGGCTATTCTCAACTGAATCATCATATCGAAAATCGCTTTTAGTTTTCTCAAATTTTATATCATTGAAATTCTTTATCTATAATATAATAGTAGTTAAAATGTATAAATTTCCTATTTCGTTTTCGTTTGTTTCTTCTCTCATTTTCTCTTTAAAGATAAAAATTAACTTACCGGTAAATGTTGAACTATACAATCATTAAATATATATTCATAAAATGAATTTAGGTTAGATTTGTTCAAGATAATTTTATAATTATCAGTAGAATTGAACATTTGTACAAAAAGAACCACTGATAAATGTGATCCCATTGAATAGACAGCCTAGAATAGAATAAAAAGTATATAAAATAATAACAATAAAAGTTGAGGTAATAAACAGTAAAGTTAGAGTTAGTGGTGTTCTTTTAGCTTTTGACAATATCCATAAGTAAAACAAACTAATAAAACAATTTGGTTGGTTGTAGCTAACAGAAGAATCTATGAGGTGAGTTTTGTTCTATTTCAGACTTGTCAACTGGATATACTTGTACCCTAGTGAGTGATGTTGGTTCCCATTGAGACTCGTATCACCAAAGTGTTATCCACTAGGCCACAGAGGAACGATAGCCAATCGAGAATAAAAAAAAAAGTATATCAATAAATAGTAATAACTACTACCCGTTGTACAACAAGTGGCTATCGTTCCTCTGTGGCATAGTGGAGCGATCGCTACGAGGTTCCAGTCTCAGTACGAACAACATCACTGCGATACAGACAGGTATATCCAACTCACGAGTACAAAGTAGGATAAAGCGCGCATCCTCAATTCTTCTGCTAGCCACAATCAACCAGATTATCATAATTCACACTCAGGCAATATCGAGACATCCGCATATGAGCCAGCCTATATGCCAAGATATCTGATGTTGCACCACCTTTCAACTCCAGGTTCATGAACAAAGTCTTTTTTTGAAACTCAGCTAGTGACTGGCTTCGCATGTGTTTCTTGTGTATTCTTATCGATAAATCGGTTAGGATAGCTGTTTTCTGCGAGCGTCCCTCTTAGAAAGTCAAGTTAAAGTTCCACACATTCCGTGCTACGTATTCGATCGCACAGTGAACGGATGAGGTTACTCCTCCTCATGATCGGCACCCAGCTATAAAAAATCATTGAGTTGTCCATTTCATGTGGGTTTCCTGTAGATGGATCTTTTCAGCATTCTATTGCTACGCCTCGTAATCACTATGTCAAGGAAAGGAATAGCTGATTCCAATTCCCTCTCAATAGTGAATTCCAACGCTGAATGGCAATTGTTAAACTCGCGTAAGATGTCATCCAGATCGATAGTTGAGTCGTAAATAACGAATATATCATCCATATATCGTTTATAGATATCAAAATGCTTAATAGTTTGGCTAAGAATAGAATTTTCTAGTTTTGACATGAAATAATCTGCCATTAGAGGTCCTAGTGGGGACCCCATTGCAACCCCATCATTTTGCTGGTATATTTCACCATCGAAACTAAATTGCACATTGAAAATACACCTCATCAATAGCCCTTTCAAGTAGTTTTTTTGAATTCCTACTTCTATATTGTGTACATCAACATTATAATTATCACCACCATCATTATTATTGTCCCAACCTTTATACGAGGTATTTACCAGCATACATTAACTGAAGTACCATGAATGACTGTGCCGGTCCTAGCAGACAAATATTCAGATAAAATTGAAGTAGGACCTCACAAACAACTACATCTGTTCAAGTTACCACACTTCACAGTAGCATGCACAGAACAAGTAGATAGCGAAAAAGTCATACCAAAGTTGACAAAGATGTAAGACAGAAGAAACTATTCGCTGACAAACGTTAACGGAAATATTTAAGCTTTAGAAGAAATTCAGGAGTGAATATATATCTGTGTCATTATCACCAATTTCCAGCCATGATATCAAGAGTCCTCAACCACTGATTCCTATCATTTTGAGGACCCCAACCACAGGGTTCAAACCAATAGTCAAAGACTTCATGGATTGTTACCACGTCTCAATTGAGAGACCCTTAGCTCTCTTTCAAACGAATCCAACTTCTTCTACCAATTCACGTCGAAGTAGACGGTGGCTCCGCATGCGCAGTTATTGAATGTTCACAACCTCATCGACTGCCACATTCCATTCCCTGCGTAGCCAACCTCGTTACTGCTAACTGTTAATAAAACAGTTTGTCCAATTTATCTATCAGGAAGCTACCGAAATCGTTCTAGAAGCTGGTGTTATCCCGTGTACACTTAAACTCATCGCTTTATTTGCCCTTTTAGATTTTTTAAAAATCTATCTTTTCACTCAGAATATTGGAACCTGATTGGTTATTTCAGTAGTTGTTGGATCGGGGGATTTAGAGTAAATTTCATATGTTCTTTCCTCGCGTTTACAAGCTTTCTGCGAAGCTCTACTACGTTAGGAACTTGCTGACAGCTTGCATCGTAATACAACACCTGGACACTTTCGACTAAGTATAATAGCGGATTTATTTTGAAGGTATAAGGAAGTCTTGATCAAGTCAAAGGTGAACGTCATACGATATCCTTATGGATGAGATTATTTTAAACTGTAGTGTACTGTATAGAATCGTCGAATACGCCGATTGACTCCCCACGCAAGATGGCCATCAAGGTGACTACTCACAATAACAGAAGGTGTGTAACCATATTTATATACTCGAGAAAATTAACTCAAACCAGTCGGAAGATGGTAGAGCATTATGGAAAATCGTTATACAGTAAAGGAACCAAGAAGGGAAAGGAAAGTGGGGAAGCTAAAATTAGAGAGAGGTATCAGGTTACAGGTTTGAAAATGAGTCAATCAGCTTAAAGGTGCAGAAAAAAGGGAAGTGACAAATATCGAAAAGTATACAGTGAGAAAATTAGTGAAAAGATAAGAAAAGCTTATTAAAAAAACATTCTTCTACTCTGGCCATGGTAAGGCTAATTAGCGCAGGAAATGTTTTTGGACATAAGACCGTGATCTGACAATGATTCGGTTATGTATACATAACGTAGTCCTTTAGAATTGTAGGGAGGCAGTCTGTAGGCTAATTTGAAGGAACTACGGGTTTACTGGAGAATATGGCTTTCAGGCTGGTTGCGTAATGCTCCTTCATGAAAAATCTTAAGAGGCCAATACTTTTTAAGATTTCAGTTGCAAAGTCATCTTTGAATTCAAGGTTCATATTGAAGGTTTCTTCGAAAGGGTGGAAAAACGCTTATTTGTCGTCTTTCTCTTTTGTACTAAGAAACTGGACACACTAACAAACATTAAAAACGAATGTTAATTAAAGACGACCCTTTATGCTTCATAGAAGAATCGGTGCAGAAAAGCGGTACTGACGCTGTAATAGCTCCAAAATTACAGCCACGGGCTGCGAATGGAGCAACAATACATAACGTAACTACGGTAGAGATTTTATAGGAAGATAGACATAACAACTTATGGCATCCTTATCTGGTGGCTGACTATGAGCTATTGCATCAATGAGCATGGCCGGAAGCTGTTTTTCAAATTAATGTGCATGCTACACCGGTATCTATCAAACTAGTTAAAAACTATACTTCACAAGTTTACTCCTACGGTGAATAGATCCTTAGGAACTAGATTAATTTGGAAGACCTGTATAACATGGAGAATAACAACAATTCATCTCGCGCATCAAAAAGGTCAGCATATGTTGACGGAACCGATTGTTCTGTGAAGTCAGAAGGTTTTCTTTAATGAGCAGTAGCTTTCCATAGTTGCCTCGGTCTCCAAGGTAAGGGGTTGTGTTGATCGAAAATAGTCTACTACATCAACTTCATGTCGGCATGCTTTCAGTAACAACTTGTTCTGTCTGGCGGTTTATAAGGCTTCAGCTAGTGGATCTTATCATAACAGCAGTCCCTTCTCAGAATGTTTTACTGTTAGCATCTCAATCAGTTTTGGTACATCAGAAGTAAGAGCTAGAAGAACCATCTCCTAAAGGTACTACAAGAACTCTTCTGTACTTTTTTCTTCCCGATGCACACACGCGTGAAAATACACTGAATTTGACTATGTATCGCTGTGGCGTTACTTAATCGAAAAAAACTCCGTCATCGTTACCGCTCACATTATTGCCAACTAACCAGCCTAAGATGTTTCAGAGCTTCAAGTGAAAGCGTACTAAATCTTTTGTTCACAATCAAACTGCTGGATACAATGTTTGTCGCTCTTCTACCTCAGTGCAAAAGATCAACTTAGAACAAATATTTCTGATTGACTAAACTCTTTCGTTTTCTCCATGTGTGCAGTAGAATAACCTCGATTATCAAACAGTTTCGATATTGTCTACAATGCTGTTGCAATCAATTTTGTCAGCTTCATCTGCGGGATCACAATTTTCAAAAACGATGGACTCAAAGTATTTTAGAGGGATCAGAGTTGCCTTTGTTCAGTATCTCACACCTGCATACATATGATAATTAGAAGTTGTTATCGGATTCACCCTATCGAGAAATGTGACGTAGCTAGGCTTAACATCACTGTGATCATCATTTTTACCATCATTCACGGAACTTAAAACTGGATAAGTTAGTATCAGAATAACAGTCTACTCCTAGCATACGATCAGTTAAGCTTATTAAAATGGGTCTATAACCCAATCAAGCTTTAATACAACATAAGTAATGACATTAGTAAAACAATTGAACATTGTTACAGAATATCTTACCTCTAATATGGTAATTAGATGAAAAGAACTATTATCGATTATATACAATAAAATTCGACTATTCTGACGAAGATTCAATTGTTTACTTTCTAAATCTTGATAACATTTTGATAAATTCTGATTATTTCCAGTAGATGAATAATTAGGCCTCTCTATAGCTTTATAATATGATAAATTTGCGTTAGCCAACTTGGGTAGTATAATAGTATCCAATAAAAAATGACAATATTCATTTCCTTTCAAAATTCCAGCAATGTATACATCTGTTTTTGTATATTTAAAATCATCAACATTATTCAAGGATATATGACTGTCTGATTTTGGTGTTGCTGACGCCGATACTGTTGGTGTTGATGAAGATAATGATGACGATGAATAAGCACTAGATACCGGGGTTCGAACACTGGTACTAACTAACGGGGAATTTGAACCACCGGGAGAATAACAATCAAACTGCATCAGAATAGAAGAGAATAGTGAACAGAAAAACAAACTTTAGACAAAGTTAAATCACACAAAAACTGGATAGAAAAAGGTTTGTGGGAATTTATTTATTGATTTCACATTAGTATTCATCATGGATTGAGACTAGGTGGAGAAATATTGAGAACCTAGGAGGACTGAAAAGCTGTTTCGTCCTAGTATGGGACTTCACATCAGTGAGCATCTATGACCCCATCTCTTCAGGGGCCGAACCCAGGACCTTCAGGTTCGGCTGCCAGCAGGTTACAATTGAGCCTCTGGGTCCATATTTCTTACTCTTATCAGTTCACGACGTAGAGCGACCTCCATCGAACGCCGTCGTTGAGTGAGTTTAGTTGTATCCGACTTGGTAAGTACTCAGATATCTTAACGGTGTAACAAATGGTGCAAGTTAGTGAGAATCAATCCAATCCTTTCTACACATGTCAAAACTCCACCGGTTACTAACCCACCGCGACTAGTTCAACTATGTAGGCAAACAAGGTGGTACATGTCTGCAACTATCTAGGTCTCTACTTTCAGACCAAGTATCAATGCAGGTTAGTTTTAAAGTAATATTTTATATTCGAGAAATGAGAAATGTCTCCCCAACATTGTCGAATCATTGCTCATTGTTCAGAAGACCATATATTGTGGTTAGATTCCCCAAGCAAGGTTATGTGCTTTTTATAAACTCTGTAGGTTAACTGTAGAATATCCTACGCGATCAATTTTCGTAAAGCTGGACGAGAAAAGAGAAGTATTCATAAGCACGTGTATGACAAAGTAAAAGCTTAGAGATGTGACATCCTTGATAGACAATATTCAATCTCCCTACATCTCATCCAATAGCTTATTGTAGACTTTAACATGACAGTGAGTTTTCCAGTACAAAACCTTCAGTAGGGTGATGCACTAACAGACATTCCCATTAGCCAGAGATACAATCAGAAAACCTCTTGATGGACGAAGTTAAATTCAAGCTTGCATGCTACTCACAAACTTTTCGACTTCAGTAAAAATTGCAAGCCATACGTCAACTTCCCATCCACGCTATGGTTAGATAGTGAGGAGTCGAGGAGTAACTGGAGGCCAGATAAACTATCATTCCAGTTGTCTCCCTCGGGAATGAATCGCACATCCATATTTGTCACCCTAGGTCTTTTCATATCTATGAACAACTATCTACTACAGCTTTTTATTGTCATATTCCTCATGTATTCAATCTGTGTTATTCACCCCTGTTCATGGACAGTACGTACTCTTTATTTACCTAGATCCTACTCATTTTTGTGCTCAGTGTCCTGGAGTATATTTACGTGTATAAGTTACTTAAAAGAAGTCATTCAAATACATTTGCTGTTTTGGGAAGCGAGTTAGTAGCATTGTCATTTTTCGCTACCTAATCAGTTATTCTTTAAAACCAGCCTTGGTGTTCTCATCTTTAAAATGAGCTCAAAAAAGACTTCCGTTCGTAGTTTCCTTGCATTCACAAAAGCGTAAAACTATATAAATGCGTACCAGAATCAATGCGTTGTCACTAGCTAAGCATGCGCTGCATAAGAGACGGTAATCCTCCACCGACTCTTTTCAGTGCTACGCGATAACGGCATCCTTTTTCTGTATATACAGTTCAGTCAAAAGTTGAAATTAAATAATGTCTGGCTATATACCTAAAACTCATATTTAATAGTAATAACTGATTATCTGGAGGCAGTTTGAGCTGAAGAAAATCATCTTCGATTAACTGTGAATCTAGCAGTAGCACTAAACTATCAAGCTGGGTTGTTTAGTCATAGAGCTTTCATCGTCTTGCTAGACGACATCTTCAACACTAACTTCAGTATGAAGTGAGCTGTCAGTATCTCTTTGTCAGTGATTTAGTAACCTCCCCTGACCAACTGGTTTGTGATTGGTTGTTTCCTTCAATTGTGTTGTGTCATTGATTGTATAGACTTTCCTGTTGGCTGTCCCTCTGCTTCACCTCTCACCTTTCTCATTGGTTGATAGACTGGGTCTGTGTTTATACATCTGTTGATTGCTGACTGACTGACCTGAATGTCAAGCTTCTAGGAATTCTCTGATATTCTTTGCTTCCTCTCTCCGTCCAAAATTTCTACAATATCAAAATTGAATTCTTGTCCATAGTTGTTATCCACGTGCATTGAAATGAGTGATGAAATGTCTTATGTGACGTTTACTAGCCAATCAGTGTTCATAAAGATGAAGGCGAATAGGGCGACCACTTTGTCCAATGTAGTGTTGACTACAGTTATTGCAGTTGGTTTTGTAAGTGATTTTTGGCTTTTGTCTTTGGTTGTTGCATCCTTTGGTCTGCATAATAGTGTTTGCAGGGAATTTGTTGGCTTATGAGCCACACCAATTCTAAGTGGTCTCAGTAATCTTGTCGCCATTTCTGATATATTCTTTATGTACGGTTTGGGTGATGCATTTGTTGATTTCTGTTGCCGGCTTTGTAGTTGGTGTTATACGGATAAGCATCTTGTGATAAAGTTTCGCGGGTAGCAGTTCTTTTTTAGGATAGACATCAAGTACTTTTTTTGTTTCTCCGTGAAGTTGTTGTGCTGCAGTGTGTTCTCACTTTTTTGAATAGAGTTTGCACACAACTAATTTTGTGCGTTGTTGCTACCGAATATGTCATCTAGAAAGACGATGAAAGCCCCACGACTAAACAACTTAGCTCAGAAAATACAACACAATCAAGACCATCCACCTGAGCTACAAATATTCTCCACCACTAAACTATCAGTTTAGTCTAGCTTAGCAGTCTTAGTTGTTCGTTGAAATCGCCAGCTAGTAAAAGCATATTTAAACATTTGCCTTTGGTAAGGGGAGAAAGTAGTTGGGAAGACTCATCCTTTTCACTATGCGAGTTACCATTAATAAACGTCCTATATTTATCTCTTTTAACTATAGAATAGATTCATATCAGGAGAAACAAGAGTTCCGGCTAGTGAAGTTTGTTTTCTGATTCAACAAGGGGTTCAGACTCTGACAGCTCTAAAATGTAGTTTCGAACACTACTTAAAGAATATCAGAGACGTTATGTAAACTCAGATAGCCTTTATAAGCTGCAGAAATTACAAGTGGAAGATAGTTTATGGTTATTAAGAAAGAGGTATGAAAAAATTCGGAGGGTGAGTGGTGATCAGAAGCGACTTGAGCATAAGATGAAGTATGTAAACAGTTTATAAGTCGTGAGTGTGAGAATCATCGAAAATTACTTCTTTTTGAAGTGCTTCAATAAGTAGATTAGTATAGGTGATCCCATCGGCGTGTCTAGGTTACTACAGAGAGGAATAGTTAATCATTTGAAGTTGGATACAAATGGCATTTTTAAGGAATTTATGATTTAGATTGAATTGTGTTGGCTCCGTACCTAAAAACAACTTAAATACAAGTACTAGAAATCCATGGGGTTAGAAGCGTGTACATTATTTTTAGGGCTGACCATCTATCCTTGCGTTTTCCTTCAGGCAAACAGGAAGTCACATCGGCATGCAACGTTGGTTGTCTTCGAGCAATACTCTACAGCTGTCACATTTCGTAAAGCAAGTAATACGACTGCGAAGTCGGACCTCATTATTTAAAGGGATTTTGATTGTGAAATCATGAAGGTAGCTATTTTGTTTTTCTAGATCTTCCTCAGCCTCCCAGTTTGACCCAGTGTCAATGACCTTAAAACCGGCTTTTAATTAGGCGGATATGCATGTAAACGATTTACATCACTCCCACCTACGGAGATGACCATGAGGTCCCGGGTATCTACCCTTACCACCCAAACAGAAACGGCATCAAGTTTTTAACTTGGGTTATCACTCACTTAGACCACCCCTATTCAACACTCATTGCTCTACTTAATATCATGCATCCTCTAACCGCGGTGAAACAGCAGCATCCAAGCATTTCAACCCTTATAACCCGCGTAGTTAGCAGATAATTGGCTACTTTTATCTTTCTCTAAATTATTTTCCTGGCATGACAATGCGCAAAAAGAAACAAGAGATTCACTCAGTACATTCCAAGTGGATTGTTAGGATACGCACACTAGACAACCACACCAGGTTAGCGGCTGTGGTCAGCAGTCTGAATTAAGGGAAGAGAGAATACTCATAACTACATACAGTTTCATGCACCAGGAGATAAGCGACATTTACCATGTGAGGGCTAACATTACTAATCTCGACTACCCAAACCTCGGAAGGTGAGGCGGGATTCAAACATCCAATGCACTATTTCGCAGTCCACTACCTTAAACCAATGAGCAATAAGTTCGAATCTCACGGAGGACATCATTTACCTCGGAGTTGCGTATACACCTTGCTGACGAGTCCCAAGAAGCATGAAACCTATGTCAAACAAGGCTTCCTGCCGATTGCCTTCAATCAACTAACAACCATCAAAGTACACCGCGATGGTGCGCCTTCTAGCTTGGCGGCTATATTGCAAAATGATCGCTAGAATTCGGCCAGCATTGAGAACTAGACAACATGAGATTGATTACTATCTGGAGACCAACAAAAGAGTGAGCTATAGCTTCATTTTGACTAAGTTAAGCAACGTAGATTGGCTAAATCCTAGCCCACGGTGATTCAAGAATAGGAAAATCGATTTTTAAAAAAAGTAAACCGCCTACATACAGGATGAAGAACATGTTACTGACTAAAACAGCGTTAGAGAGAGAAAAAGTGCGATTTAAACAGTATATGTGTGTATGTATGGTAAGCATTCATGTATGCCATCCACAACATATACAATAAAATAATTGTGAACCGCATAGATTATGGTATTAGAAGAACATATAAACTAGCAAAAGAAAAAAAGAATGTTGTTTACGATCAGAAATCTCACCTATTAACACAATCATGCTGTTTCACCAGCCAAAAATGTGAATCTTAGATAAATGTCACTGGTCTCATTGTTTTATTTATTCTGAAAGTCATTTCACTTATGACCTAATTGGTAAGACC